CCTGTGCAAGTTAGTGTACTTTTTTACTATGGAATTGCAACATTATTACTGTTGTAGGAGAAAGATGTCCACATTTCTTCACCTGTTTTTGTGGCTGCAAAGGAAGGTCATGTTAGAAGCTTTTTTGCTTTCTAAGTAGTCTCTTGCACTGTGCTTGGGAAGGCTGTAGGCAGGGAAATCATAATCCAGCTGCTGTGACCTGGATTGTGAAATTCCAAGCTCTGCCTTCCTGCTAATAGCTACTTTGGTTTTGAAACCTTCAATTTCTGTTGTCAGTTGCTATGGAACAATTGAAAATCAGACCTGCAGACACATGTTAGTTGTGTCTTTGGTCCTCAAAAATGCATCACGAACTGCCTTACCTGTAGCATCTGTGGTTTTCTCACTGTCTGGAGTGATCCCTAGGTAGCCCGCCCTTGGCTTATCCTAGTGGTAACCCTTCTTTCTTCAGGTATATGTTAAAGTATTTGCAGCAAGTCTAAAAATTGCTCTTGGAACATAGGTGTTTTATAGAGCATGTCTGCTTAATCTCCACCAAGTCTTTTATAGCACCTTTTATCTTTCACTTTGCGTTTTTACATTTTTCTACATTCTTGTGTTTTATAAGATGTTGTGGTTTGATCTCTTGGATATTTCAGTAGGATTTTTGTGCAAATACTGCAGGGAACATGATTAGAGTCACTGTATCCTAATGTCTTTCATTACCTCCTAGAAGGAGCCATTTGCCTTAGAGGGAGGAGCTGCCTGCTGCTTGTTATGTAAAATAATAAATAATTTAAAATGCTAACTGAAAATACCTGCCTTGGTGGACAGACATACGTTGATGTGCTTGACAGGCACAAAATGGAGAAATAATCAAAATTCCTTGAAGACATGGGAGAATAATTTGCTTTATTTGATTCTTTTTTTTCAAGTGAGGGAGGTTTCCTGTGAGTCTGTGCTTTACTCGAGTATTATAGACCCACTTCAGGAAATCCTGAACTTGTGGATCAGTGTGAGCTGTAATGGAGGTCTGCGGTATGATTCTGCAAATGCTTAGCTGTTTCACTGAAAGCAGCTTTTCTGACGTACTGCCTTGTTGCTGATACCAGCGCCTGCTCCAGTAAAGAATCACATGAAGCTATGGATCATGTGGCTCTTTCCTCTCATCTAGCATAACGAAAGGATTGATGGATTTTGTGCACTGCCTTAGAAAGCTAAAGGTGTTGCAATGTACTAACAAATGCCAGCTTTATTGTAGCTATGAAGCTATGATACATGCATGGAATTTCAAAGAACTGCGTCTATATACTGAGCATGGTAATTTAGCATTAGTGCTTGATCGTATGAATTGATACAACTTCAGCTTATTTTGTTTCCAAACGGAGACTGTTAGCTGCTATCGTATGGACTCTGCCTGCTTTTCCAGTTTTTATCTGGGGAAATTAAAAATTGTGTAAACAGAAGAAGCTTGTGTCAACATTCCTCTTCTCAATGTAATTGAGCATTTCTGCAGTGAATAGTTAATGATGATCTGCTTTGCAAGACATAAATGCGGCAGTGACCTGCTCTCGTTTAGATGTTGCGGTAGCAGAATGGTGGGGCTTTGCATGATGCATGCTTTCATTGTTTGTGTTAAGCTGCTTGCATATGTCTGCCGTGAGCTGGATAGCTTGTCTCTCCATCAGTTATAAAGGAATACTTTCTGTTTCTTCTGACAGATAAGTATTCTTTCTTTCCTTTTTTTTCCCGTTGGCTATTAAAATGTAACTGTCAGACAGTTTTGTGAACATGGTCTGTAAATGCAAATGCTTTGAATTCATGTTGTGTGCTGTTCAGTCTGCTGTTCTGTCTGCTGAATTTTCTGCTTGGTTGCAAACAGTTAAAACTGCCTAAATGCTTTTTTGTGTAGCACCTTTTTATTGGTAGAGTTTGCAAGCTCGTAGCTGTATACAGTTGGTAGCAGTATATGCTGTGTTGTATACAATTGTGAAGCATGGATAAACTGTGTAGTGTAATTATTAATCACAAGCATAAATGACAGTCAAATATATTGCTGAAAGAGTACCTTTAAAAAATTAAGCTTACATTGATATGGAAAGAAGCTTTTTCTTTCACCCTCAGCTTTTGTTTTGTGAAGTAAATTAACTGAGCATGGACTGTGTGGGTAATATTGGAAGAAAAGGATTTGATTTCAGTGTAGAATATAAGTCACCGGATTTTCTACTTCTAAGATTACATCTGTTCTTGTAAGTTCTAGAGGAGCACTATTAAGATGTGATTTTGATTAAATCTTCAGATGGAGAAATTCAGAAATTTCCCTTCCTAAACTTAAATCTAGGTTTTGCGTAGGTGTGTCTTTCTCACTTAACGGAGAAAGCAATTAGAAGACGTTTGCTGTCCTTAGTTAAAATGCTGTGACCTCAGTGCAAAAATGAATATTTTAGCTACATTTTAAAATTCATTAGGTCATACCATATTGAAATGATATTTTACCTTCTTTGTAGTGTGTAAACTTACAGAGAAAACAGAATGTGTCCTTACTGTCAAACTTACTGTAGTAAAAGCACATTTAAAGTCGTCTTAATATTTTGTAGCATATGGTCAAACACTGAAGTTACCAGTAAAACAGTGACCTTTTTTTTAGTTTTGCATTTAAAAGAAATCTTAAATGTTTCGTGCCTCAAAGTGTTACGACTCATACAAAATGCGCTTTTGGGGTTTATGCTGATTACACACTTCTGAAATTAAATAATCGTGTGCCCCCAACTCTTACTTGTCCTTTTAAAAATTCTTTTATTCCCTTACCTACTTCATTTTCACTTGTCAAGCCTTTGGAGGACCTGAAGTCCGTAAAAAGAGCCAAAAGCCCTTACCTCAGTATTTGGAAAAAAACCCTAACAAATCAAATAATGAAGCTATGAATATACTTAAAATTACAACCCAGTGAATTAAGGTATAATCTTTGCACTGAATTGCATAGCAACTCAACATGTGGTCCAATATCCCAGATACATTTCTAAAGCCAGCTATACCGCTTAATATTTGAACTGATACTGTAAAAAAGCCTGATGTAGCCAATGTGAATGTTTTCTATGAAAAGCCTATTTCAGTAGATATTTTAAAGCCAAGCTTCAAAACAAATAGCAGGATTAATTCCTAAAAAATGGAGCATTTAGCACTTTGGTTGCTATAGTTATGTAGCTATTTTTCTAGGACACTTGCTTGGTATGAAATAGCTTTAAATGCATGATTTATAGCAGAAATTACTAAGCTAATAATATATCCTTATAGTATGACTTAAGGAAAGTGTCTTGTTCTCTTATTTCACTCTGAGCTGTCATTAAACTTTTCTGCTAGTCTAGAGAAGTTGCAGTATTTCTGATTTTTCTTGCAAAATGAAGCAATCAATTTAAGATGTGCCTTACTAAATCTTTTGAATTTCCAAGTGCCCTTTTTTTGATTTTGAGTTGATGATCACTTAGTCTTCTTCCAGCAAGATTTCTGGAGCACCTTTTTCTAACTACACTTGCATTTCTTGGTCATAGTCATTTTTCAACTGCGCTTCTACTTGTGATACTCACTGCGTTTCCTCAGTGCTTTCTTGTTGTCTACCCCATGCTTTAAATGGGCCAGATAGAAATGGACTCTTGGTTCCTTCTTGCTCGTTTTTTCTGGATAATCTCATTCTGTCATATTCATTTAGGAATTACGTTGACAACTCGGACTCACGTTTTTCTTTTCAGTCATACCTTCATTTCACTAAAACTGTGCTTCTCTGCCACTGCTCCTTTGTAAACCAAACATATGCAGTTTGTCCCACACGTTATGGTATGGTCTAAATCCTCCTGTTATAACCACACTTCAAACAACTTTGTCCTTTCTCCTTGCTTTTAATACTCTTAAGTTCATTCATATCTTAATTTATCAGCACACTGATGCCTTCCCAAAGCTTATGCAGTTTCCATTTTTTTCCATAAGAAGTACAATAACTAGAATTTCATTGTTGCTGCTTGTTTGTTCATATCACTTGTTTTGTCTCCCCTTTTCCCTGGCCCATCAATTTCTGTGCTACTGCAGCATTTCTTACTTCTCTCAAAAGTCTGTCACAATGTTGTCACTGTCTGCTTGATCAAACTTGTCTATTAACAGCATATCAAATATTACTCTGAACTATCTGTTTACTTCTAACATTCTCTTCCAGGGTTTTTCTTTTTCTTTGTCACACACAGGCCATTTACATTAACCTATAGGGAAATACTTTTCTTCTAGTTTATCAGTATCTGATTCTGTTTGATTTGTGACGAAATTTGTCAAACTTTATATTTTTAGATCTTTTAAATGTTATTTTTATCAAGAGATGTTTTCCTCTTCATTATTTAATTAGTTACTATTGTTGTCTTCTTCCTCTTGCTTTTCATATCTCACCTTGGTTTATGTTGACTTTTGTTCTTTGTAAAAAAGAATTGCAGTCCACTATAAAGACTTTTGCTGAAGAAGTCTGGAACAAGCAAAAAAAAATAACCCTTGATAGCAGTAATTGTCAGTTTTACTACGATCTCTGTTTTGTTGCCTTTAAAAATAAAATGGCACTATTTGAATAATTTGAAAGATTGACTGATGCTGATTGTCTTCAAACTCAACCATGTTAATACCCCAATTAGTTGTAGAGTACTGTAGGCTTTTGAATGTTGTGTGAAAATTGCTTGGTAGGAATTATATAAAGTAATGGGACATTGTCCATTTTTTTGAAGCCTTAAATATTTGTTGGGGGCACATAGTAGGTTGTAGAGAACTAATTTTTTATGGATCACTAAGATGATAAATAGATTCATAGTAACTTTACAGATGCTGCATCAACATCTTAAATACTCAGGCACAGCTGGAGTTAAGCCCCTGCTGTTTTCTGACAAGAAACAAGTGGATTGGTTTCAAGATGAAATTACATAAATCTTGCTTTCATTATTTCTCCTTTATTAAAAGCCTCTGCGTTCTAGTTTTGCCTGTGGTTTGTTTTTTAGACTGAATCTGGCTATGGATCAGAGTCAAGTTTACGACGCCATGGCTCCATGGTGTCTCTTGTTTCTGGAGCAAGTGGATACTCTGCAACATCCACCTCTTCGTTCAAGGTTAGTAAGTAAAGTTTTTTTAATATTGGTGCATAAATAACATGCATAACTGGAAAAGAAATACCTTGTGTGAAGACTCATTCACATGATTACAGAAGAACCAAACAAAAAGTAGTTGGTTTACTGTACTGGTAATTTGTCCTATGATGATGAGCAGACCCTACAGGAAGCTCTCTTGTGCCTCTGTGCAGTTACTGCTTTTAAACTGTGGTGTCATTTTCCAATGACAAGAAAATCAAACCTGTGGGAGGATTTATGAACTTTTCCTAGTTTACTCCACAGAAGATCAGGGCCTCTAAATGAAAAAGAATGCTGATTCTGTAACTTAATAAATTTGATTAATACTGACTGACAAACGATGGCTTTCTGTGTCTTATAAATATTTAACATATGAACTTGGGTGTGCTGTACTTCTGGGAGAGCAGAAGAGGAGCAACACAAGAGTGAGTAAAGATTGGAACAACGATCTTGAACTTGAGCTGGCTGTTTTCAGGCAAATAGACATAAAGTAGGCAGCATGCAAGATCATTTTTCATATACTTTTGTTGAATGCTCCAAAGTAGCACATGCAGTCAAGAGGAAAAACTGAAACCAGTGGACAAAATGAGTGAAGGAACACTTGTATACAGTTTCTTACATCCTTCTAACATTAACAGTATTTCATAGGTGCTGACATCTAACATGTCTTGTGTACTTCTATTTGTTCTTCATAGCTACAGAAATCCAATGGGTTTTTTTTATTTATGCATTGGACTATATTGCTGAGTATGTAGAAGCACTTCAGGCTTTTTTCTCTTGTATTTTCAGAAGGGCCATAGCTTACGGGAGAAGCTTGCAGAAATGGAAACATTTAGAGACATCTTGTGTAGACAAGTTGATACTTTACAGAAATACTTCGATGCTTGTGCAGATGCAGTTTCCAAAGACGAACTCCAGAGGGATAAAGGTAAAACTGTAACTGAAAATGCTTATCTCCATAAAATTTAGCTTTTTACACAGTAATAGCCTTTGAAGTAGTTACTATAGCATTTGATGACATATAAATAAAATATGTATCTTAGATTTATTCTTTATTATAGAGATAAATCACAGATACTTTTCCATAAGCATTGCTACCTATTTTCACTTCAGAAGTTGGATTCCCATAAAAATCTTAGCTTAATATTGACCTGTAGCTGTCAAGCGTACAAAAGCAATGCTCTTCTAAGCATTTGCTGTTAGAGAACAATAATTGTTAACCCTTGTAAGATAAATTCAAGTTAGTTTGTCACAGTGTCTCTTACCTTTACTTTTGAAAAAACAAGAGGATATTTGTTTTGGTGTAAACAATACATTCTTTAAAAAAGGCAAAGAGACTGCCATAGTGAATGCTCCTAAGGTGTATTGGCTGGAACTAGAGAACTGAGTGCACTTTTGAGGCCCTAGTAGACTCAGGCGTGGATGTCTGTATATCTCTAAATTGCTCTTCTCAGAGCCCAGCTTGTTGTTGTATCCTTACACTCTTTTGTGGCATTTATATCCCTGGGTTTGTTCGGGCAGCCTGAAACTTCTGGTAGTAAGAAAACAGTGGATAAACACAGTTCTACTTCTTTGTGAACTTTCTAGTGTAGAAGAGTAGATAGTTCCTGAATCTGGGTTCCCTGCTTATCTAGTTGTAATGCCAGCACTGAGCAAATGTTAGTCTTCTGATGGTTTCTGACAGTAATGATGATAGTGGTCTTGGGTTAAAACAAACAAAACAAAAAAACAAACAAAATCCCCAGAAAATACTGGGGGCCGTGGGGGGGGGTGTTCATGACTGTTATAGGAAAAAAATCTTAAATGCTGCTTAGCTATGAAGATGCTTTTAATTCTTGCTTGCACCCTAGAATGAAGAAAGCTTTCTTACTCCCGTAACACACTCTCTCTCAAATTTAGTGGTAGAAGATGACGAAGATGGTTTTCCTACAGTGCGTTCTGATGGGGATTTTTTACCAAACAGTAACAGCAGTAAGGAAAAATGTAAGTGTATCCCAGCTATTTCACTGAAAAATCATATGGATGTTATGATGATAAGCCTGATACGAGATGGGTATTTATGCTCTTTTCTAAGCAGACAATGGCAAGAATAGTTATTTAAATATATGCGAGAAGAAGTTCTTACTCATGCTGTTGCTCATTAGCTGCTTTTCGTGATTCTCCGAGTTATTGTTAATTCACACAAATATTAATGCAACCTTGTCAGTATGCCTACAAATATCTGAAGGGTGGGTGTTGGGAGGAACGGGGCCAGACTCTTTTCAGTGGTGCCCAGCAACAGGACAAGGGGCACCGGGCACAAACTGAAGCAGAGGAAGTTCCGTCTGAACACGAGGAAGAACTTCTTCCCTCTGAGGGTGACGGAGCACTGGAACAGGCTGCCCAGGGAGGTTGTGGAGTCTCCTTCTCTGGAGATATTCAAGACCCACCTGGACAAGCTGTGCAGCCTGCTGTAGGTGACCCTGCTTCGGCAGTGGGGTTGGACTAGATGACCCACAGAGGTCCCTTCCAACCCCTACTATTCTGTGATTCTGTAGCGGGGGCCCCATCCATAGAAGCTTTCAAGATCAGGTTGGACAGGGCTCTGAGCAACCCTGTCTAGCTGAAGATATCCCTGCTAACTGCAGAGGGACTGCGCTAGATGACCTCTAAAGGTCCCTTCCAACCCAAAGCATTGCATGAATCTGTGTGTTAATTCCAGTTTACGAAAAGAACAAGAACACTATGTGTGAAAGAGGTCAACTGACGGTTTCCCCTGTGAAGCTTCTTGTTTTCTTACACATGATCTGAAGAAAGAGTGAGATGCTTCTTTCAAGTAATCAACCACTAATAATAATAAACTTACCCTACTTCTTAAAGATAAGGTTAGCTGGTCAGCTGCCCTTCCTCTAGTGGTTGTTCTGGTTTATTTATAGTATGATGCTGGCCACCATTAATATTTAGGTACTTGTGAGAGGAAGTACAGGTTGACATTTTTAAAAATAGATTGACAAGTTAATAGAGGATGCTGCACACATTTGTCAATTTAAACAGATACAGAAACTTCCTATAAGAGCTCTTTTTACAAAAACCTTTAAACTACATATATTTCAGTTTTATAATAACAATGCTCAGGAAGTGTGGGCTGGATGAGTGGTCAGTGAGGTGGATTGAGAACTGACTGAATGGCCAAACTCAGAGGGCTGTCATCAGTGGCGCTGAGTCTAGTTGGAGGCTGGTAACTATTGGTGTCCCCCAGGGGTCAGTACTGGGCCCAGTCTTGTTCAACTGCTTCATCAATGACCTGGATGAAGAGTTAGAATGTACCCTCAGCAGGTTTGCTGATGACACCAAACTGGGAGGAGTGGTGGATACACCAGCAGGCTGTGCTGCCATTCAG